CAAGAAAGCTAAGTGTGGTAGAGTTATGTTATAGCAATTGCAAAAGAAACTAATGGGCTACCAGATAACTGCTGGTTTAGGTGATGGTATGGTGTAAGGAAAGAGATGGCATTAACCCACAAGGAAATCAAAGATACAAGAAAAAAATGTTTTAAAATGAAAATATTGCAAAGTATGCAATTGAACAAATTCCATTGACCTGTCTTAGGTGCTGGTCAAGGGAGATTAGAGGATAAAAAAGGCATGGTCTGTTCCTGGCCTAGTTTATTATTTCCTTTCTGCTTACTTTGGGTTTATTTTGTTTTTGTTTTTGTTTTTTCTGACTTCTTGAGGTGAAAACCGAGATTTGAGACCTTTCTGATATGGGCATTCCCTTCTAAGTACTGGCCTTGGCTGCATCCCACAAATTTTGATGTGCTTTCACATTGTTCAAAGTACTTCCGAATTTCTCTTATGATTTCTTCTTTGACACATGGATTATTTAGAATTGTATTATTTAGTTTCCAAATATTTGAGTATTTTTTTTTTGTCATTGATTTTTAATTGAATTCCACTATGGTCAAAAAGCATATTTTGTACAAGTTAAGTCCTTTTAAATTCAGCTAGATTTGTTTTAAGGTCCAGAATAGGTTCGGTGTATATTTGAAAAGAACATGTACTCTAGTCTTATTGGGTGGAGTGTTTTATATAACCAGTTAGGCCAAGTTGGTTGATACTGTTGTTCAAGTCTTCTGTGGCCTTTCTGATTTTCTGTCTGTTTTGTTCTACCAGTTATTAAGAGAAGGGCGTTAAGCTCTCTGGCTGTAATTGTGATTTGTTCTTCCTTTCCTTGCAGTTTCGTTGGGTTTTGCTTCACGTAATTGGAAGCTTTGGAATGTGGTGCAAAAACAATTAGGATTGTTATATCCTCTTGATAAATTGACCCTTTTATCATTATGAAAGTATTCTTTGCTCTGAAATCCACCTCATCTGATTTAGTATAACATTTCAGTTTTCTTTTGATGAATAGGAACATGGCATATCTTTTTCCATTATTTTACTTTTAACCTATTTGTGTCTCTGTATTTAAGTGTGTTTCTTGTAGGCAACATAACAACTAGATCTTACTTTTTAAATCCAATCTGACAATCTCTGCCTTTTAATTGGGATGTTTAGACTGTTTATGTTCACTGTCGTTATTGATATGGTTTAAATCTACCATTTTGCTACTTGCTTCCTATGTGGCCCACCTGTTATTTGTTCCCTTCATTTCTGCCTATTTTTGGGTCAGTTGAGTATTATTGATTCTATTTTATCTCTTTGGTTGGTTTACTAGCTGCAACTCTCTGTCGTTATTTTTAATGGTAGCTATCGCAATTATTATATAAATCTTTAACATATCACAGCCTACCTCAACTGATATTATATCACTTCACAAATAGTTTAAGAATCCTAAACAGTATACTTTCATTTCTCTGTTTCCAGCCTTTGTGCTGTGATTCTCATACAGTTTTACTTCTCCGTATGTTGTAAATGTACAATACAGTGTTTATCTTTGCTTTAAACAGTCACTTAATTTTAAAGAGATTTAAATAATAGGAGAAAAGTCCTTTGTATTAACCTATGCAATGACCATTTCCAGGGCTCTTCGTTGCTTTGTGTTGATCTAGATCTCCAGTAAGTATCATTTTCCTTCTACCAGAAGGACTCCTTTAACATTTCTTGTAATATAAGCCCTCTGGTGATAAATTCTTTCAGCTTCTATATGTCTGGAAAGTATTTTGCCTTCCTCTTTAAAGGTATTTTTCGAGGTATAGAATTCCAGGTTAATCATTTCTGATGGGAAGTCTCCTGTCATTCTTATCTTTGATCCTCTGTATGTAATGGGTCTTTTTTTCTCATGCTGCTCATAAGATTTTCCTGCTTATCACTGGTTTTCAGAAATTTAATTGTGATGTACCTGAGTGTAGGTTTTCATTTGTTTGTTTTGTTTTTCGGTGTTTCTTATGATTGGGTTTGTTGAGCTTCTTGGATCTGTGGATTCGTAGTTTTCAATAAGTTTTTTTTTTTTAATCTGGCCATTATATCTTTAAGTATTTTTTCTGTCCCTGCCTTCATGAACTTGTTACTTGTATATTAGCCTGCTGTTGGTGGTGGTTCCACAGTTGCCTGTGCTCGGTTCGTTTTTTTGCTCTGTTTTTTTTCTGTTTCATTTTGGAAAGTTTATGTGCTGTGTCCTCAAGTTCATTAATCTTTTCTTCTGTACTGTCTAATCTATTAAAACTCTCCAGTGTGTTTTTCATCTTGGACATTGTAATTTTCATCTAGAGTATCTGCAGTGTCTCTGTTTAACGTTCTTGGGCTTCTTGATCACGTGGAATACATTTATGGCTATCCTTGTATACTAATTCTGCCATACATGTCATCTCTGGGTCAGTTTCAGTTGATTGATTCCTGTCCTCCTGGCTCATCTTTTCCTGCTTCTTTGCTTTCCTGTTAATTTTTTGTTGGCTTTCATTGCGCTGGGTGCTGAATGTTTTTGTATTCCTATAAATACTCTTGAGCTTTATCCCAGGATGCAATTATTTGGAAATAAGTTGACCCTTTGAGGGCTTGCTTCTTAAAGTTTTGTTAGGTGGGCAAGAATAGCATTTAGTCTAGGGCTAGTTTTGCACAGCTGTTGAAGCAAAACGCTCTTAGTACGTTTCCTGACCCTTCCAATATTATGATGTTTCCCACTCTGGACCTGGGAACTGTTCTTAGCCCTGTAATGGCTTTAGCTGCTCTTCGCTCACCCACAGGCAGTTTCCTCACCAGTAGGAAACTCTAGGGGGGCCACCACAGATCTGCAGCGCTGCACTCTGAGCAGCTCCCTCCATTCCCATATTCCTGTGAACTCTAGCTGCCCTGGCCTCCCTGGCCCCCAGCTCCATCTCTTCAACATGGGGAGACTGCTGGGCTCTTCTTGGGTTGCCCACTCAGCACCATAGCCTGGAAACCAGCCTGGAAACTGGGGCAGTCACAAGGCTTATGTCATGTCTATTATTTCTCCGGAATCACTGTTCCCTTATAGCCTGTAGGCAGGAAAGCAACTCGCTCCCTGTTATTCCATCTTGGGTGGAAGCCCCTGAGTTCCTAACTCAGTTCTGTGGTATGGAGGAGTCCATTAAAGTAAAAGCCAGTGACCTATGAAGTGAGGGCTTTCCCTTAGGTTTGTAGATGGGGGCCCAAAATACCACCGGCTCGTCCAATTCCCCAGACTGTTCAGTTCCTAAAAACAAGACTCATTGTCATTAAAGGACTACATATTTATTTAGGGGTTTTTGTTCTGGACTGGCTCTTCTTTGGTATTAAAACTAATGAGTTGTATGAGCTCACCATCTTTTTCTAGATAATGATAATATAGCTAATATGTACCATTCTAAGAACTCTGTATATTATGTAATTTAGTCTTTAGCCAGCGCTGTGAAGTAACAGTACCACTCTGTTACTATCCCTATTTTGAGCATAAGGATACTAATGCACAGAGAGCTAAAGTAACTTGACCAAGAGCCCTCAGCTAGTAAGTGATGCCAAGGATTGGAACTTGGGATCTGACCCCAAAGACTGTACATTTAATGAGCACACAAAACTGTATATGCAGTGAGCAGGCCACTGAGGCAGGCCCCTCAGCTTTCAGAACAAGCTTGACCAACGTGCTTTCCCATGGCATGTTCTCTTTTTAAATAACTTATGTATATATGCAAGCATGCATTTCTGGTAATACATGCTCATGATTCAGTTTCACAAGGTATAAGAGGGTAGAAAACAAATTTCCCAGCTGACTTCCACCCTCAAACCCCCATGCATCCTCCCTACCCTAAACTTTCTTTTCAATTTTAGTGTCTTTCCAAAGGTGTTCTTTGCACATACCAACCTAAAAGTTAATAGCAGCAGCATACAATCCCCTTTTGTTTGCACTTGACTTTTTTTCATTAACAAGATATCTCAAGTAATCCCATAATAATAGATGTAGGGCTACCTTTTTCTTTTTAACAGCTGCACAGGGCTCCACTGTATGGGTGTGTCATAATTTATGTATCCCCTCCCCTTTTAAAGGACTAAGTTGTTTCCAGACTTGTACTATGATAAACAAGGCTGCCAAAAATATCCTTGTGTTGTATCACATGTATGTCTTACACATATACCATACATATGTGTGTGTGATTTCCCACATGTGCAAATATATCTACAGGATAAATTGCTAAAAGTGAAATTGCTCTGTCAAAGGATATGTGCTTTTGAAATCCTGGTAGCTGGGACTAAATTGCCCCCTAAAGAGGTGGTCCTGACTTAAAGCCACTTGTGTGGGTGTTTCCACATACTCTCCCCAACACAGTTTATTAAACTTTTTGTGTTTTAAAATGATGGTATGAGCATTGTATCAAAGGGTAACCTTTTTGATGGATGACTGGTAATTGCATTTGCCTGCTAGTGAATTATAAAACAACCAAAGATTAATGAGCCTTTACTCAATTCAGTCTACAGACTTCTGTCCCTGGTTCTGGGTATTAGTAGTAGAAAGATCTGTGAAAGTAATAGGAAGACTTGGTCCCAGTCCCCAGGCAGTTCATGGCGTAGAGGGAGACACAGAGAAGTAGCTATGTTGCGTGCGTTGTTACACAGTTGGGGAGCACGGGATAATGGGACAAGAAAAAGTGTTACTGGAATCTTAGGAAGTGTTGCCAGGGTCTCCCGATCACGTTAAACTTCCTGGCGGATGTCATCCCGGGAACAACCAGGTGGAGAGGAGGGAGCCAGCCTCGTGAGGACGAGCCAGCTCAGGGGTAACTGCGAGGCTGCAAGCCCATCTGGAGGGGCCGGTGCCACCTCCCTGCGGAGCGGCCGGGCTGCAGCAGGGACTCGGCCGCCTGTGATTGGAGGGTTGCTGCTGGGGGCTGATGAACTCGGTAGTGTCGGCCGAGGTGATTGGCCGCGCCCTGCTGCAGTGCGAATGCAGGCTGGATGCTCCGGCCTCCTCGCTGCTGTGAGGATCATTAGTTGAGTGAGGACCGCTGAATAATTGGGAGCTCAAAGTTGCTTCTGCCCTCCGGAGAGGTCCGTGGGGCTCCTGCTTATTCCTTTTTTTAAAGAGTCACGCATTTGATCACCGTCCACCTGCAAAAGTGAGTTTTTATTGAAGAAGCTCCAGCTGCCCTCATTGTCAGCAACCCGGCAGGGCTCTCAGAACGGGCTACTTCGCAGGCCAGGCAGGACAGCAGGGCTGGCAAATTTGAGAAAGCAGGAGACAGCCGCTGCATGCAGAGCTGTCAGCCTTCCTACTCGCTGGGCTAGCCTTTCAAGCAGCTGTGCAGCCGGAGACCCTTGGTACTGTGGTCACGTCCCACCTCAAACGTGAACAGTCACCGTCGGCGACACTGGGAGGAAGCCGTGATGTTGCGGATGCCGTGGCATTTTCTGTCTAGCTTTCTCCCCAGGGCTGGGTGCCAAGGCCCCAGAGAGGGGAACCATGATGAAGTCAGAGGCACCCCGGCTCCAGCGGGGGAAGACCAGATGTCCAGCTCTTTGGGGAAACCAGCTGGAAGGGCTGAGGCCCCGGAAAAGAGACCCACCATTTTGCTAGTGGTCGGACCTGCAGAGCAGTTTCCTCAGGTAATGACAACCTCAAGAGGACCTCCTACTTGGGGCTGGCCCAGAATAGAATCATTTTCCTGGAGGAAACTGAAGTGCGGGGAGGAAGAGAACTTAAAAGTCAATCTCTTTGGTTTTGGGGCTGGGGAGAAACGTCAGACAATGAAAACAGCCCAAATCTTCAGTCATCTCTCCGTGCCACTGTAAAAGCTTTATTACCCTATTGTGACCACTTCAGTCTGACCCTTCAGGGGAGGAGATTGAATGCAATAGAAGCTTTACCTTAGGATTTGTCGGCTTGGCCCCAGAGGCCATTTGAAAGTAAGAGATAGACGATTACAGTGTGTCTTATGTCTTAGTGAATCCAAGCAATGCAGGGAGAACTGAGCTGAGGAGCTAAGCGGGCAGCAGAGAGCCTTCAGAGCTGAACCCGACTGCCTGGAGCTGGGGAGGGCCACCCTGTCCGGCATCCCAAAGGTCTGACCCTTTGGCTTGGTGGGAAGAGGGCCCACCTTAACTTTGGGTCTGGAAGGAGGGGAGTGAAAAGGAGGTAGTCAAAGGAGAGGCTGGGGTCTCAAAGTGTAGAGCCCAGTGCCCCCTCTCAGGTCTGCTGAGTGCCAGGGCCTTCCATCCATCTCTCAATCGGAGTGTGGGTCATATCTGATCCTCACAAGAGTTAAGGTAAGTGGCAGTACCACCATTTCATAGATGCAGAAACCGAGGTGCAGAGAAGTTAAGTAAACTGCCTGGGATTAAGGAGGAGCAGAGGGGTCATTTCACCCCAGTCTGTCTGGAATTTTGCCCTGTACTGCCTCGATTTCCCCTAATAAAACAGTCTGTTCTCAGGGTCCTCAGGATTAGAATGGACAGGTTGTTTGCCTGATATTTCTCCTGCCTGCTGTAGGAGTGACCTTGGTCACCACCTGAGCTTTTATCTAAGTTTGATAAAAATCAACTGGAGAAGGCAAGGAGATTCTGCCCTGTACCTAGCATGCTGTAGTTTCCCCAAAACTGTGGGTTAAATTGAATTGCTACATTTAAGAAATAAATGTTCATTTTTCCTTTGCTAAGTGGGAGGGACTTCTGATAGAAACACCTTTTGCAGTCATTTAAGCATTGAGGAAAATCCGTAGTCTGACAGGCTAGTCCCCGGTTCGCAGGGGTCTCGGAGTCAGTATTATGCCTGAGATGTGCTTTAAAAAGTATCATTTTAGGTTTTAATCATTTTAGACAGTTTAGGTTTTAATCATTTTAGACAGTTTAGAAATGGCGGTGGCCCTATGTTTTGTGAGGAACTTTTTTTTTTAATCTGCAGACCTGCTTGCTTTATGGCTGAGGGATTAAGGATTGGCTGACTTCCTGTTAAATTTACCTACTTTTGATTTCAATAATTAACTGCTCCATTTCCTAGAGTCACAGGGCACCTCTTGCCAGCTCTCCCCTCCCAGGGTGTCCTCACATCAGGACTTTGTGTTCTAAACAAATTCCTGGCTTGCAGAATCTGGAGCGGTTGGGGGCTGAACCTGAGACCCACAATTTTCATGTGCTCTTTTCCCCCAAAGGGAGACAGATCAGCTGGCTGGGGTGGGAGGAGCCGCAAGAGGGGGACGGATCACCCAGTTAGGTTTGAAGCAAGAAAGCAAATGCCCCTGAGCTGTGTGGGCTCTTTAAAAGCAAATAAACCAAGAACTGGACTAGAGTTTCTGCAGGTGTCCCTTTCCGGTTCAGCTACTCTTGAAGGAAGGGTTTGGGGTTTGTGATCAATGGTCGGTGGGGCCTGCCCTTGCCATTTCACTCAGGAAGAGGTCCCCAAGGCGTTATGAAAACCTCGTAGAGAAGTTCTCTCGGGTTCCCAGGCTTCTCGATGTCCCGGCTGCACTCATTTGTTTGCTCTCCCTAACCCTGTTTTAACATGTCTGCTCGTGAGCCAGATTCCTGCAAGCTTTTATTCTAGGAACTGTTCCAGTTTTTCCCCTTATCTTTGTTTTACAGTTAATCTGCAGTTGGAGAAGAAAGCCATTAGTGTGGAGTGGGAGGTGCCTTCCGCGGCATTCAAGCTTTCAAATCCTGAGGGGCTGTCTTCTCAGAAGCTCAGAGAATTTTGCTCATTGTGTTCCTAATTGCCAAGTGTAGGCAGGTTCCATTGGAAACCGGCTACACTGGGCTGTCATGGCAACCTGATCATCAAATGACGCGTCGGCCACAGCAGCAAATGAGGTTCGACAGCCTTATGGGTGGGTGGGGCTAGGACTGCCGGGTGCTGGCAAGGCTGCGTCGCATATTAATAATTTAGGCTTGGTCTGAGTCATTGCAGAGGAGGGGGAAAGTACTTTGTGACCTAATACTACGCTCCCAAAGGTACTGTACCTGCCTTGTTCTTACTCATGGTATTCCAGCACTTACAGGAAGCACCTGTGTTTTGGCATGAAGCACAGTGGTCGAACAAGGAAAGCATGTAGTGGCCCTGGCAGGTTTGATGGGGAAAAGATGCTCAGGAGAGGAACTGCTGCTTTACAGATGAAATCTGAATCCGACACCACTAAATTCCAAGGGGTCTAGAGTTGCTGCGATGGTTTCTGAATCCTCGTTACAGAAATGGTCATGAGAAGAGAGGAAACAACAAAAATAGATCTGGGTCACAAAATTCGAGTCAGTAAAGAGAGCAGAGAAGAATCAGAGATGGCAGGAGGAGGAGAGATCAGCACATTTCCCAGGGGTTTAGAAGAGCCAGGGAACCGGTGTGCACCGTCAGGAATGAACACAAACCATCTAGTCTTTTCCTTATTGGTAGCTCCCAATATGTGGTCGGAAGCTGTAACACAGATAGAGCCTCACCTTGTTCAGGCCGGTGCCCTTCCCTCACACCTGCCACCTGCCAATATGAGGTGTAGCTTACCGTCATTCTGTGTCAAGCCTACAGGTGTTCTTTGGAAACTAAGTTCCAAAAATCTCTCTTTGGCAGTGTCAGGGTTGGGCTGTTGTAGTGGATGTTGTAATAAGAGCTGGGCCCTGAGGCTCAGCCCAGCCTCCAACGAACTCAGGGCCTGGGCAAATCAGGGAACCGCCCCAATCCTGCTTGCTTACCTCAGAGGTTTAGGGGCAACCCTAGAGCCCCTCTGGGCCCTGCTGTCAATAATTCCAGGGACAGAGCATTCACCCTGGCCACTAGGCACCTGGAGATTGGCTCCCTTGGGAAGAATTCCCAATTTCTTTGTGAAAATGGTGTTCTGCATGACGTGTGAAATCAGGATGGGTGGTTTAAATCAATAAGCAAATGCCAGGTTTGTCCAGTGAAGACATTCTGTTGACTCCATCACAGATGCAAACTAAAAATAAGTTAGAGCCCTTTTTTAAACTTAATGTTGGAATGGAATTAATGTCAGCATTGTAAAATAATACCCTGACAAGCACATGCAGAACTTTTCAGAGAACATATTCTGACCCCATGATACTGTTGGTCTGTAGAGTAATGAGCTTTGTTTTAATCAAGGAAATGCTATTCTATTTTTTTTTCTAGAAAATAGTTGCTCTTATATAATGATGCTTTTAATAATTTTTCTTTATATGTTGAATATGTTTCACTTTTTTGATATTGTTTTCAAATCTCAGATTTGATTTATAAGTACATTGCAAAATGCAATAGTACCCCAAAAAACTCGATGGTACAGTTATGTTTTTCAAAATTATTTGAAAAATACAGCTTATCAGGAAATGAACATCTGCAGTTGAACAACTTACTCAGTCAGCACACTGGCCATTTGTGTTGGGATGACTGCAGTTGGTACTGGGGAACAGGTACTGTAACAGATCAGTGCAATTTATTTTCATTTCAGAAGCAAACATGAATAATTTAACAAAGGAAGAGCAGCATTGTAAAATTCGGCTCTTTTTATAAATGTGAACCTCCTTGAAAATAAAAATAATAATACATTATTTTGTTGAAATGGATAAGATACCCTGAAAACTGCAGACATCCCGAAAAACAAAACCGAGGTCTTCATCAGGAGTGGTGGGCGTATTTGTTTCTTGGGGGTCTTAGAGGCCTGGCAAGCCTGAGTCACTCATTCAGAAGCTGTTCATGTTGGGCCCCTTCCATGATCAAGGCAAGGGCTCCTTCCAGGCAAGGAGTAGCCTCCTGCCTTCTAAGACCCTAATAGTGGAGATGAGGTGTGAGTAAAAACAACCCCAAAGCACAAATTCTGGATTGGGTGGCTTAAAAGGTAGCTGAGTGTAATGGGCTGAGCCGGAGTCGGCCTGGATAATGCAGAGCTGTCACCTGGAGCGCTCATCAGGTCCTCCCTAGAGCAGCCTGACACCTGTTTTATTGGACCATTATCATATCTCTTTTAGAAGGGCCAAAAAGCTGCACAGATGCCTTACAAGATACTAACATGTTTCCTGATGTTGCATTTAAATATGTCAACACCTGTGTTAAAATCTTTTTTAAATTTTCTTAAGAAAGAGCTTTCTGGTGAATGAAGTAAGTCCTTTCACTTCTGTTCATCCCCAAGTGATAGCCACCCATTTTTAGCCATCCAGGCAGGGAGATGTAGTCTATATTAGGAAGTGGTACAACTGTAGAAGGAGCGAGGTTCCTTTTTCATCTATGTGACGCGAGTTCTTCCTCCACAGCCCAAATCTTACACTTTCCGTGGGGAAGGGAGAAAGGAGGTAGAGACGTCCAGCTGGTCTGGAGAGGATCGCCCTGAAATTATGACCACATTTCCTCTCTTCCACCCCTAAGAGGGGTGCTCGAGGGCAGTGTTGCCCAGAGAGCCTCTGGTAATGCCGGAGTGCTCGGTGTGTGAGGCTGTGGAGCGCTGGAGTTGAGGACACGCAGCTGAGCAACTGAATTTTTATTTTTGTTTCATCTTAATATACATTTTTAAAGGCTTCCCTATTGAACTGCACGGTTCTAAGCCAGGAAGCAGGACGATACAGAACTTTGAAGTACTGGGCATGAGAATGGGCTCTGCAGACTGTGTGGATCTTATGTTGAGGGCCTGGCTGATGCCAGAGGCGTGCTTCTGCCTCCGCACTGTCCCTCAGCACAGTGACTGTTAGCCTACAGCATACTCTCTCTTCCCCCATCCTGTCAACAACTCAGTGCTTGGGGGGACCCTCAGGGGAAGCCTGCAGGGGAAGGGCTGGTTCCGAGGTGCTCACATTGCAGAGGGACCTGACCAAGGTCACTGGAGCCAGCCAGAACCATGCCTGGACAGCCGTGTGGCCAAGGCAGCCAAGTGCAGGGCTCAGCCAGCCAGGGGCAGCTCCTCTGCGGATGCATGAGCCCATGGCTGCAGAGGAATGAGCCCATGGTGGGGCCACTCCTGGGGAACTGGGGTCCCGGCTCTCAGGCACCCCTACCAACTTTTCATAGCTAAGTTGGGCCTGGTTTCAGTGAGCATTGACTCAATCTCTGCCTACTTATTTTTCTGTCAGGAATGATTTACTAAGGGGAGAAAACCACTGTATTGTGTGACGCATTTGGGGACCTTGTGGAAATACAGGCAGGAGGCTATTTGTCTTCTGGCGGTGTTGGCAGCACAGGGTGAAGGTTTGTTTGGGCATGATATCACTGTGGGGCAGTGTGCGCAGAGGTCAGGTTATGAAGAGTTAACTGCGGGAGCGATGACCTCAGTCCTGAGCTTTACACCTCCCCTGGAGCCAGCCACCGCCTTGCAGGGGTCTGTGCTCATTGGCAGGACTTACAGTGGGTGGACTTCTTTCAATTAAGCAAAAGGGCGGGGCACAGGCAGCCAATGACAACTGTGCCCCCCCGGCACATCTTGGGCATGTTTGCCAGCCGGCAGCGTTCTTCATTCTCCACGCGGCCAGCACTTGCTTCAGGTGGCGGCTGAGCACCATTGCCAGCATGTTCTGCCTGTGCTTGTATGTGCCGCTCATCGGGGAGGCCCAGACCGAGTTCCAGTACTTCGAGTCCAAGGGGCTTCCCGCCGAGCTGAAGTCTATCTTCAGACTCAGCGTCTTTATCCCCTCCCAGGAGTTCTCCACCTACCGCCAGTGGAAGCAGGTCTGTGAGGGAGGCAGCGGTCCATCAGGGTGGGCTGAGCGAGTGCACGCGTGGCTGTAGAGGGTGCACATGGGTGAAGTGTCCCTACCAGACCACCTGAAAAGTGCAAATTTGGCCCCGTTGTTATGTGGCTACATCTGGTGAAAGGGCTGCATCATGTCGCAGAAATGACTGACTTTCATGTGACTTCCAGGAAGGCTGGAATTATAGGGAAGGCACTTGTGGGAGATGGGAAAGAGTTCTCTTGCTGGGGGCAGGTGGGGACCTCTGAGAAGTAGTGGGGGTACAATCCTGCTGTGGAGGCAGAGCTGGCAGCGCTGTGCCCCTGGTGAAGCAAACCAGCTCATGGCCTGGGAAGGGAGGACGGCAGCAGGAGTTGTTAGATCTGAAGAAGGGGGAACTGTTATAGAGCTTGTGGGGTCGCTTGCCTCCTAAAGGGGTGCCCTGATTTCTCTGTTAAATCAGATGCTACACTATTCTCTGTGCAAATGGTAGTGGTGGAGGCCGGGGTGTGCCGGGGGTGGTGATTCGCATATCCTAAGGAGACAAAGCAGTTTATTCATTCTGAGGTAGAAGCAGGGCCTTTAAGGATACTTGAAACCAGCTGCAGTGAGCATGTCCTTGGGTTGCCTGTATCACAGGGCACCCACCCCAGTAGGTGCATGGATCGCGTTGGTGACCAGGCAGCCTGAACACCAAAGAGCATTGTACCCGGTGTTCACCTCCCCCCTAAATGGCACGTAGATTCTGTTTCCTCTCCTGCGATAAGTCTAGAGTGATAACCCTGTACATAATGCCTGTATCATTCTTGGCTGAGAGCACACACGTCTGCAGGAAGTTAACATAACTCCAGATGGCAGATAAAAATACTATCAGCATCTTTTTCAGCTTCCAGATGCCTCCCTTGTATTGCTCTTTGGATCATGTTAGGTGACATGGTATCTGTCCAGGCCTCCTCCCAGCACCCTTAGTGGCGGAGCAATAACAGAGCCATCAGGTGATTCAGAGAGTAACTGAATAATCGGAGAATGCCGGCTAGCCAATGGTACATCAATTTCCAAACCCACTGTCTCAGAAGACTTGGAAACCAGTATTGGCTTGTGGAGTGAATGGATGTATTTCTCACTGAGAGATTGGGCAACTCAGGAAGACTATAACCATTTCCCCATGGAGATTATTGGTCGTAGTTTTGGAGTGTTGCTGGGTTGGAGTGACTCATTTGTGTCCCCCACCTTCTTGGGATTAACCTTTAGGGTGGCAGTGGAATCTCTAGGGAGGTGGCTCTGCAGTCCGACAGGCCCAGCTTGAATCCCGCCCATTACTTTCCTAGCTGTGCGACCTTGGATAAATTACTTAACCTCTCTGAGCTTCTGTTTCCCTCTGCAAAATGGGGGAAATGATAATACCTACTCCTGGAGCTGTTTGGGAGGACTCAGCAGGCCACTGTCTGCGATTCTGTGGAGTACTTGCGGTTGCTGAGCATCCAGAACCAAATGCAGCTGTTGAACAAAGCTCACCTTGAAAGGCAGGTGCAGTTTTGAAACCTCACCGCCAAAGAGCAGGGTCTCAAAGCCTTCTTGGGCCAATAAACTATTACTAAGTAGAGCTACCCCGCTCTTCCATGCCTGGTTCCATGCCTGGAACTATGGTTGGTTACATCATCTGGCTTCACTGAGATCAGAGACTGGCAGTGCCATCAAGCACATGCCCACAAATAATTCTCCATGGCTATTACCACTTCTTCAGCCTCCAAGTTATTTCTGGCAGTGTTTCCGCCAATCAGGCATTGGCAGGGGTGGGCTCTGCCCCATTCCTTCCCCCTGGACTCCCGATTGTTCTTGGGTCAGTGCCACTTGTAAAGATAAAATGGCCAAGCTGCAGAGTTCCTGATGGAATCCCCACATTTGGGCAGAGAGCATGTGGTGCTGAGGCCTGGTGCCAGGGACAGTGCTGCAGGGGAGCCAAGCAGCTGACCCTGGCAGGACAGCAGGCCGGTCTTCACAACGCTTGGCATGAGAAAGTGTCGTGCCTGCACTGTTAGCCTTTGTCTCAGGGTCCTCCTGAGGCCTTCTTTTTCCTCTTGTGAGGGAAGCAAGGTGGGCTCTGGCCAGCCCTTGGGATCCAAGTGGTGGCTTGGAGAGTAGAACAGGGGACGTGTCTTGGGTCATTGGGGCCACCTCTGTTCACGGCTTGGCACTGGTGTTTCCTGGTGTTTCCTGGGGATGGGCCACCATGAGGGACAAGGAAAAGCTGGTACATGAGCTAAAGGCCAAACCTTACTTTTGTTTTATAGAAAATTGTACAGGCTGGAGATAAAGACCTCGATGGACAGCTAGACTTTGAAGAGTTTGTCCATTATCTCCAAGATCATGAGAAGAAACTGAGGCTGGTATTCAAGAGTTTGGATAAAAAGAACGATGGTGAGTGTGTCGCTGCCCACCCCCCACCCCCCAGCCAGCCGCTGACCCGTGGGGCCTCTCGCTGGGCCTGGCTCCTGGCTCACGGCCTTTGTTGTTGTAGGACGAATTGATGCTCAGGAGATCATGCAGTCCCTGCGGGACCTGGGAGTCAAGATATCTGAGCAGCAGGCAGAAAAAATTCTCAAGAGGTGAGGGCTTAGTCAGCCTCTGTATGTGGTTTAACAAAAGTAAGGTTCTGGAACCAGCTCTGTGGGGCCATTTGCTGTATTGACCTGCTTCTCCAAACTTGGGCTCCGATGGTTTGATGAGATGAATAAGTAACCAGCCACCAGCCGCTGTCCAGGCTCCAGGCCTGGCTCATTTAAAGATCCACAAATCACCTGGAGGTGGGCCCGTTCCCCAGTGACCCGTGAAGACACAAGCTGGGGGGATTTCAAGTGGGTGAAAGGCTAGAGAGGAACAGCCCCCTCTGGTGGGTGGGGAGGGACTCATGCAGCCACACTCTGTTTAGGGTGGGCTTCTCCCTGAGGATGGAAGCTTTTCCCTAACCCTGTCATCAGACGGTGCTGCCCCAAGACAGCTGACAGGGAAGCGCTGTGGGCCTGGGGCGCAAATCGCCCAGAGGAGCTGGAGGAGTGGCTTCCTCTCCTGGCTGAGCATCTCCAACCACAGGGCAAAGGAGCTGCCTGTCAGGGGCGGCAGCCTCTTGTGCCCTCCCCCGCGTCCTCGAGCTGTGCTGTGCTGTGCTGTGCGTGTGCCGGCCTCACTAACACCCGCTCAGAGCATTTGCTTATGTTTTTTCTCCTCTCTCTTCTGCATCCTCCTCTGTGTGTCTGTCAGAATACGCACGGGCCACTTCTGGGGCCCTGTCACCTAGTAAGTATCTGTTTTCACCCTGGCAACTGCCTCCCTCCTTGACCTCTGTGCCTGATCAGAATGGGGTTCTCATTGGCCATTATCTTCCCATTTTTGTGCAAAGTGGGGTGTGGAGCCCCCTTGCCTTTCTCCTTGGGAAAGAGACCCCTCTGGTCTCCCTGGTGGCCCCACGCCTGCCCTTGGCTTGCCCAGAGGTGGGACGTGCAGCCGACAGATGGGGCCTGTTTCCACGTGGGCGACCATGCACTTGTCTTGCAGCATGGATAAAAATGGCACGATGACCATCGACTGGAATGAGTGGAGAGACTATCACCTCTTGCATCCTGTGGAGAACATTCCAGAGATCATCCTGTACTGGAAGCATTCCACGGTGGGTCCCCTGGCCAGAAGGCTGTGTCTCCCTCACCTGTTCACAGGGTCCCCTTGACCCAGCATCAGCCCCCATCCCAGGGTTGGGGTGGGGGCCCTGCTTGCCTCCTCTTCAACAGCGAGACCATCCACTCCTCGGCCAGCCCATCACAGCCCCCCATGCTCCCTGGCTCCCCCTCATGCCAGCACCCTGACTGTCCTGACTGTTCCCCAGACATAGGGTTCCTTCTGCCAGGGGTGCCCTCCCATCCCCACATGCAGCCTGTTCTTCAAGGTCAGCTTCAGACACCCACTCCTGAATCTGTTTGTGCTGCCAAAGCCAGTGTGAGCCTTCCCATGGGGTGCGGGACAGCAGAGCTATGGGGCTCCCCCCATGCCCCACTTGTTTGTGTCCTTTCTCTCTGTGGCAAAAGAAAACGTCCCCCTGGGCCCACACATACTGCTCTCACCCCTCCCCAGCAGTCGTTCAGAAATACAGATGTGCCCTCATTGATAGGGGCTGCATGGACCCTCTGCTGGCAAGCCCCCTTCATGCGGGGCGCCTCTGGGTCTGTAGTTTTATCTACCCTGACTGTCAGCTGAAGAGGAGGCCAGGCCGGGGTGCTTCTCCTCATCTGTCTCCCAAGGTGTCAGGCAGGGCCTCCCCCTCAGGGGATACCTGGCGTGCCCTGACACCAGGTAGGGTGAAATTAAGTGGACTGCTCTGGCAGGAGAAGCAGGCTCACAGCAGCTCTGGCCTGCAGCCTTGGGGTCGGAGCAGGGCTGGCTCTGACTAGCCAGGAGGCCTCCAGGAGACAGGGTGTCTGTTGCTCAGGCATGGCAGCTCTCGTATTTGTGGGCCTTGCGTAATGCTCTGCCAACATGATTCGGTTACACATCAGGTTTCAGAAGAATTTTCACCCCTGATTTGATCCTTTGAGTACTGCCAGCCAGCTGATCCTCATCTGAAATGGCTTTGTAAGCTGTTCTCGCTGGAGCCTCCCAGGCAGTGTCTCAAAGGACTGTCCAAAGGGTTTTTAACTGTTTCCTCCCAGCTGTGCTCTTGGATGGACTCTGTACCTGCCTCTCCAAGGTCACAAACGGGGACCAGAGCTTTGCCACCCTCACACAGTGAAGGGGAGGGGACCCATCAGCTCCCACCCCCCGAGTCCATGGCATTCTCAGCATCTGTGTGGCCCCTGGGGTGTCAGCCCCTCTGGGCAGTGGAGGGCTGTGGACCTACCTCTCTGTCTGGAGTTGTTTTATCTCGCTGGTCTTCCTCACAGATCTTTGACATGGGCGAGAATCTGACGGTTCCCGATGAGTTTACGGTGGAGGAGAGGCAGACGGGAATGTGGTGGAGACACCTCGTGGCTGGAGGTGGGGCAGGGGCTGTATCTAGAACCTGCACAGCCCCCCTGGACAGACTCAAGGTGCTCATGCAGGTACGTAGGAGAAAGGCCCTAAACCACCTGCTTTCTTCCCTGGGCTTCTCTGGGGGCTTGGTTCCCCCTTTTTTTGTCTGGTGCCCTTCTTTGAGCCCATACTTTTCTAACCCAATGAATTAGAGTGTAATTATTGCTCAGACAGGGTAACATTAGATCTGGACCCTGGTGAACTTTTGTACACAGCCAATCTAATTTTATCTGAGTCACTAGAGCCAGGAGTCACATTTGCAGGGCTGTAATGTGGACAGGTGAGGGCTGGGGTACGGCAGGAAGCTGGTCTTCTGTAGGGCACCACACAGGCTCCAATGCGAGGGGATGCTCACCTGGCCCAGACACCATCACCTTGGCCAGGAGCCTGATTCCACGTCCACAGGGCAGATAAGCTAGACCCAGGTCAGGGATAGGGTTGCAAAACTGACATGTATGACGATGATCCGTGGGATTTCAGTGTCGTCTGAACAGTGGCCACTTACCCTCCTTGTCCCCTTGCTTGTGTTCTGGGACTTTTTGTGCCAGGAACACTGCTCAGAAAAGGTGTTACCCTGTCCCCATTTGCCCTCAGAGCCTGCGTTGGTTTAAGCCTGTTGGCAGATGAATGTGGACTCCCTTCTTGTGCCAGGACGGGAAGCAGAGTGGTTTAGGGAGAAGAGCTTTAGGCATGGAGTCTGACGGGTTCCAACCCTGCCCCACGGCTGTGTGACCTTGAGCCAGTCAGTTCACTTCTAGGACTGTTCACCTGTGAAACTAGGGGGCTGGAATAAATTGCCTCTCAGTTTGTTTTTCTTAACCAAATTCCCCAGAATGCTGTAGAGATTAAAAGCAGTCCTTGGGTGGAATGACACAGTGCCTGGGATAATCCAGGAGGAGTTGGGGCAGCAAGGGATTATAGATTGGCTGTGGTTTAATGATTGTTCAAGCTGATGATGGCTTTATGGACACTCACTGAATAATTCTCTATACTTTCATATATGTTTGAAACTTTCCCATATTAAAAAGCTCAAATTTTTTAATTTTAAAAAGCGCTCCTTGTGGTGTTTAGGCATGGAGCTGTTTAGCGCCTTGGAGGTATTTAGCACAACATTGGCACACAGTAGGTGCATGGCACATAGTAGGTGCACAGTGATACAGTTGGACCTGGAGCAGCCATGTGTCATTCTCACTGTGCTTAGTCTTCAGAATACTGAGAAGGAGCCTGCCGACCTCCATCCAGCAGTGAGAAGAGGCTCTTTGTCGGATAGTGGCAGCCCTTGGCTGCTGAGTTTTTCTGACCACTTTATTCTTCCCTCCTCAGGTCCACGCCTCCCGCAGCAACAACATGTGCATTGTGGGTGGTTTCACCCAAATGATTCGCGAGGGAGGGGCCAAGTCCCTCTGGCGGGGCAACGGCATTAACGTCCTCAAAATTGCCCCCGAGTCGGCCATCAAGTTCATGGCCTACGAGCAGGTGAGGACGGCTCCCCAGGGATTGTCGTCAGTCAGCAGCTGCTTACTGAGCTTCCCCTGGGCTAAGGTCCCTGACCCCCTGATACTGCCGAACCTGGAGCCAGTCATTGTACCTGAGGGACAGCAGGGCAAGGCAGGAGGCCTGGGTCCAACCCCGGGTCTGCTGCCAATCACTGCAGGCCAGTTCCTTCTATTTCTGGGCAGCACCAACTGTGCCAGGGACACCAGGTCTCTGCTAAACCTCGCTGGCTCCGTGAGGAGGGGTGGGGCAGGGGCGGGTGCACTGGTCTCGGGGATGTATCAGTTTGTTTGCTCCATGTTCTAGATCAAGCGTCTTATTGGGAGTGACCAGGAGACTCTGAGGATTCATGAGAGACTTGTGGCAGGGTCCCTGGCAGGGGCCATTGCGCAGAGCAGCATCTACCCAATGGAGGTGAGGGCTCTCTTGATCCTGGGGAGGGCAGCGCACGCGGGGTAGGGGTCAGCAGTGGGCTGTGCTCACACGTCCATCGCTCCTCTTGGGTTCTGCAGGTTCTGAAGACCCGGATGGCTCTGCGCAAGACAGGCCAGTACTCGGGCATGCTGGACTGTGCCAGGAAGATTCTGGCCAGAGAGGGCGTGGCCGCCTTCTACAAGGGCTATGTCCCCAACATGCTGGGGATCATCCCCTATGCCGGGATAGACCTAGCCGTCTACGAGGTGAGGCCTTGAATCAGCAGAGATTCAAAAGACCCCTCTTCCCCAAGCGCCCACCTGTGATAGACTTGATAGACCCTGGGGATGGTTGGGACAAGGAACAGCAGCAAAGAGCATCTCCTCCTAGACTCACCTGTTCATTGCAAGTGTCCCCTGTCACACTGCCTGCCCCTGGCAGCACCCAGGGGCTTGGCAGGCAGCTCTCCAGACCACGGAAGTCAGGCTGTCTATGGGGGAAGGCAGTGCTGCCCCGCCTCATCCCTGCCCCCTAGCCTGTCCAGGAATCCCCAGTGACAGCAGAAACAAAGGGGAGGCAGGCCAGGAGCTCAGCAAGACCGCAGCCAGCCCAGCCCAGGCCAAGCCAGTCCAGTTACGGTGGCCTTGTAGACCCCATGTGATGAGGATTGCCTCCTGCCTGGATCCAGTAACTGCCCCCCCCCCACTCCCCACAAGTCTCATTGCCTCAGAAGCTCATCCCTACCCCCCTTTCCCCTTCCAGACACTCAAGAATGCCTGGCTGCAGCGGTATGCTGTAAACAGTGCAGACCCCGGCGTGTTTGTGCTCCTGGCCTGTGGCACCATGTCCAGTACTTGTGGCCAGCTGGCCAGCTACCCACTGGCCCTGGTCAGGACCCGGATGCAGGCCCAAGGTGAGGCTGGTCTTAGGCCCGCCCCTGGGGCCCGTCTCCCAGGCAGGTGGGGATCTCAGGGAGGAACTGGTGAAAAGCCTCTGATGGGCTCCCTCTCCCTGCAGCCTCCATTGAGGGAGCTCCGGAGGTGACCATGAGCAGCCTCTTCAAACAGATCCTGCAGACCGAGGGGGCCTTTGGCCTGTACCGGGGGCTGGCCCCCAACTTCATGAAGGTGATCCCAGCCGTGAGCATCAGCTACGTGGTGTATGAGAACCTGAAGATCACCTTGGGTGTGCAGTCTCGGTGACGGGCAGGAGGCAGCCCCTCCCAGAGGACTCACTGATCCTGGGTTGCAGCCCTGGGATGTGCAGCCGTCTCATTCTGTGAATGTGCCAACACTAAGCTGACTTAAGCCAAACTGTGAAAACCCTGGGATGCACCTGCAAGGGAGAGACAGGAGCTGGCAGGCCCACCAGGTTTGTCCTGCTGGCCCTGGCTGACCCTCATGTCTGTTCCAGGGAACTCGTGTGAGAATTCCGCAGTGTCCATGGGTCAGCAGGACACCGGCTCTTGCACATAGGGACAGGACGCTTCCCGCAGTGCCTGCCAAATAGCAGGGCCTGGAGGCCAGCTTAGTACTTCCATCTCCTGGCAGCCAGACCATCGGCCACAGGCCTCCGGCCCCTGGCCTGCTGGAAGTCTTCCCCAGGCCCACTCTGCTTCCTTCCACGCTGCTATTTAATATGGTAGGAGGAGGGCTACCAGCTTACTCCCCAGGCACCTCCTCGCACCTCTCCCTCAACTCGTGCGTGCGGGCAGGTGTTTCCCTGACCTCACCACCCCAGCTTCCCAACCCTCAGCGTTGCCTCTGGCTAGGTTATGCAGGGAAGAGGGAGGAGCCTGGCTTATGTGCACACCCTCATCTGAGCCGTGCTGTTGGCTTCCAAGCTCGCCAACAGATGGGTGCCCAGATGTGCTTGTGCCCTCAGGGGCAAGGCCAAGCCGCACCGTTGGAGTCCTGGTGCATGGCTTTACCGTAGGCAAGTGCTGGGTCCTGGGACCCAAAGGGCCTCTGCCTCCGCTGCTGGGGTCTCATGATACTCTGAGCTGGCACTGGACTCTGTCCAGACTGGCACCAGTTCAGAACCAGCTCTCTGTCCCCACTCTGGCATGAGGGCAATGGGGCAGCAATGGGGAGGGCCGTTTCTGCGATATGTCTGTGCCCCGGTGATAAAAGAAAAAGGTGTTAAAGGCCTTAATTATGTTTTGTTGGGAAAAGGGTTTTTTTGTTCAGAAAGGAAAGCTGGACAAATGTGTAAGTTCTGGGCTTCCGGAGGGAAGATGGAGGGAACCAGGTAGCTTAGCTGACTGCATTAAAGTCTGTTTCTGATGCCTCCGGGGATGCATGTCCACTCCCGACGGGGGGTGAAATGGGACCAGCCTCACATTCCACTGATGCAGAGGATCACACTGCTTGGAGCCTATTTATTTTGTATTTATTTGAACAGAGTTATGTCCTAACTATTTTTATAGATCTGTTTAATTAATAGCCTGTCATTTTCAAGTTCATTTTTTATTCATATTTATGTTCATGGTTGATTATACCTTCCCAACACCCTCAGGGTGGGGCGAGGAGAGGAAGGAGGGGCCAGGGGAGTGACCTTCCTACCCCTGGCCGCATTGACGTCACATCTGTCCAAAGAAATTCCTCTCGGAACTGGCGACAGAAGAAAGGCCAGCAGGGAAGGGGAGGTCCCCCGATAATGGAGACATGTCCTTGGGCAGGATAGGGCACCGCTTGCACCCAGGAAGCCTTAGAATCTGAGGGTTTGAATGGGGCAAGAGTGGCAAAAATCTCAATTCTGTTGAAGACAGAAGTCCAAATCATTACTGGGAGGATCTCTTTATTTCACCCTTCAGATGACGAGGCAGTGAGGTACCCATAGCTGTGAGTTTGGGGTCGGTGGGTAGAGGAGGGGCAGCCAGCTCCCCACCTGTGAGGTGGGCTCCCTCCCTCCCAGGCCCCCCACTGCCCCTGCTCAGCAACCTGATCAACTTCCACGTCGCAGTTCACTCCATTCCACCAGATTGGCCCAATGAGGACAATTTAAAAAGGATGCAAAGATCAATGCAAAAAATTATTGTTCTATATAAGTATAGTTATAACGAATTTGTGAGAAAGCAAATTAAGAATTGGAAGTTGTCACTTAAAAGAGCCTTCTAATAAAGTTGTTTTAAAGTTGATGGCAGAGCTGATTTTTCTGATCTGGGCTTGGGTGGTGTTTGGGCTTTTACATGTTAGAAACCGAGCCCATTTTTCTCATCAGAAAATGAGAAAGCTACCCCCCTGGGCTTCTCAAGAGGCAGTCCCTCTTGAACATGGGCGTTGGTTGGATTGGGTGCTCTGGCCAGGTCACCAGTGCCCGCTGAGTTGCTGAGTCCAGTGATCCCCCCTCTGCCCTCATCGGATTCCACCTGGGCAGAGCCAGTCATGCTCTCCTGCCCGAAGCACCCTCAAAGGTGGCTGTGCCTCCACCTCCCTGCCTGCTCCTCCCCAGCCTCATGGCTGCTTCCTGCCGACCTTTAGGGCAGAGATGTTGGGGCCCCGCCTGTTTTCTGCCTGTCTCCCCAGGGGAAGGCGAGGCTCTGGCCCCAGGTGGACAGTGTGCAGGGCATGAAGTGCTCAATAAAACGCTTGTTAAATGATTGTCTTTACTCCAGTCCCTGGGCAGCCCTGGGTACCAGAGGGCTAGGCCAGCAGCTTGGGGAATCGACAAGGGGGCTCTGGCATTCAGAGGCTGCAAGGAGACATGGTACATTCTGAAACTGGCATGAGCCACTATGCATCTACCAGGAACCTCAATGTTTTGGGGATGTTAGGGTTTTACAAATGTAGTAAAGATGAGTCTTACTGGATTGTGGTGGGCCCTAAGAAGAGTGACTGGCGTCCTTACAGAAGAGGACATTTGGACAGAGACATGCAAGAGGAGAGAGACACATGGAGAGGCCATGCACAATAGGGCAGAGGTTGGATTCATGCATCTACTAGGCACTGTGGATGGCGGGCAGCCACCCGAAGCAAGGACAGGGGAGGAAGTTTCCCTCAGCAACTCCAGAAAGAACCAGCGCTGCCAACACTTGGACTTCAGACCTCTGGCCTCCTGAGTGGTGAGAATGACTTGTTTCAGGCCACCCAAGTTCATGGCGGTTTGTTGCGGCAGCCCTAGGAAACAAGACGATAGCTTCAGTTGTTCATTAGCAGGGTAATAGGCGTAAGCCATTTCCCAACCCTTGGGTCTTGGCAAGTCAGTCCCCCTTGGGACAGGTCCTTGATGCCATCCGGCTGAAGCAGGGCTTCTCCAGCACTGAAGTTGACATCGGGAGGTGCCCCAAGGTGGGTAAAGCCCACAGCCTCACCAAGCCAGCCTTCCCACGGTCGCCTCCTTCATTCCATCATCCCCATTCCGGTTTTTACTTGCAAGTCACCTCTCTGGCCACCCTGTTTAAAATGGCAACTTCATCCGTACACCCAACCCAGCCCATTTCTTTTTCTCTCTAGCCCTTTTCTTATCAACTGTCCTGCTTGCTTGCTTGCTTGCTTTGGTTTATCATGTTTCCTCCCACTGAAGGCCAGGTATTCATTGACTTTCTTCACTACCATTCCCAGTAAGTGCCCAGCACCCTCTAGGCACTTAATGAATGGTTGCTGGCTGAAGGAAGCCGTCCAGATGTTCGTGGTGTGCCAGGCAGTTATGCCTCCTCCCAAAGATGCCCGCCTCCTAACTCTGAGAACTGTGAGTCAGGTGACATGACAAAAGGGAATCAAGGTTACTAATCAGAGAACCTTAAAATAGGGAGATTATCTGGGATTATCCAGGTGGGCCCTACATAATCACAAGGGTCCTTCAACTAGGGAGAGGGAAGCAGGGAGAGAACCAGAGAGACTGCACGAGGTCTCAGCAGAGACTACAGATGGAGGGAGAAGCCACGAGTCACAGAATGCCAGCAGCCTCTAGGAGCTGCAAAAGGCAAGGAGCAGATTCTCCCCAAGTCTCCAGAAGCAACCAGCCCCATGGCCACCCTTTTACAGCCCAGTGAAACTGATTTTGACTCCCAGCCTCTAGAAATATACATCTGTATTGTTTTAAGAGACCAAGTTGATGTCAACTTGTAACAGCAGCCAAATGACACCAACACAAATGGCAGAGGCCAGTGCAGTCAGGGGAGAACCGGCTACAGGAGCCTAGTGACCTCGGGCAAGTCCCTCACCTTCCTGTCAGTTTCCTCTCTGTGGAGTGAGGGCTGGTAGGTGGGCTTCCCCATGCAGGCTGCACACCGCCTGGGCCTGAGTGAGTGCAGCCAGCTCCCTCACCAGCCTGCACAACTGCCGCGGGCTTGGGTCACAGGACTGAACTGATGGGAGATAGCAAATGGCCAAAGGAGGCCACCCCCCCACCCCAGAGAGCAGGAGGCCTAGGCTTGTCTCGCCCCCTAAGGGGATGGGGCAGGCCTCTGCCCCTCTCTGGCCTCAGTTTCCTCATTCTTGGCTCCCTGCCCTGCACCCCCAGCCCATCCCTGCTCTTGCTGACCCTCCTGCCCCAGCCCTGAATGAGTCTCTCCAGCCACTGTGATGGGGCCCAGCTGGTTTGTTCCAGCTTCTTCTCAGCCCTGCGGGTCAGGGACCAAGGTGCACACGTGGGCAGCTGGGCCCGGTGCATGGACTGCTTCCCTCCCCGCCCCCTACATTCCTGCCGGCTCTAAGCAGCGAGATCCGGAAAGGGGGCACCCGGCCAGTGGCTGCAGTTGAGAAGGTGGCTTCAGAGGCAGTAAAGCTAGCTCGAATCTCAGCTCAACGTGTCCCCTTTTATGAACCTGGGCAAGTCCCCTTGCCCCCTGAGCTGTAAGAAGGGTATTGTGCTCATGTTGCTCATGAGGAAACAGGCTCAGGCATGAGACTCCCCCAAGGTCACAGTGCCAGGCACCAGGATTCAAGCACCGGCCTGCCAAGTGTTTCTCAGATTCTCGGTGGCCTCCTGGCCCAGGAGAGCACCCAGGAGCCAGGGGGTACCCGCCTGAGGCAAAGTGCCCCCTGCCCCTTGGTGGGTCGTGGTGTGGGCCCAGCCTGCCGGGCCTGGTATGGGCACGGGTCCCCTGCCTCCTGGGCCTCCCGGTGGGCAGCCCCAGGAGAGCACACCCCCATGCAAACAGCATGCGTAGGGTCTACTGACCCGCATTTGGGGCCCCGTCACCTATTCCTGGTGAGGCCCTGGGTAAGGCCCTTCACCTCCCAGAGCTTCTGTTTCCTCATCTGCAAACTGGGGACCTGGCGGCAGCAGCCCTCCTAGAACCGCTGAGGGCTGAGGGAGGTCCTGGGGTGTGTGGGGCCCCAGCTGGCACTCAGTGAATGGCTCTCTCAGGATCGAGAGGTGAAAGGGTCTAGCTTTAGGAAGGAGGTGCAGAGCGGGTCCAGCCAGATCCTACAGCACAGGTGGCTTCCCCTATGCCAACCATGGGAGATTCCAGGCCCACAGAGGCTGGAACGAAAAGCACCAAGAGGAAATTACGCTTTGTGTTTAGAATCCTGGATGGGGAAGGGGAGCTGGGAGATGAAACTGTTTGTTAAGGGCCGTCCATTACCACTTCCTGTCTCATTTCAACTTTCCAACAGCCCCCTCAAGCAAGTCTTAGTCTCTTCATCCAGTAGACAAACAAGCACAGAGAGGTGATGTGACTTGCCCAAGGTCACACAGCTGGCTGCCGTGAAGTAGGGATTTCCACTGTCCTGGTGTCTGTCCATGGAAAGGAGAATCTGTTTCCTTGCTTCTCCCAGCTTCTGGAGGCCATCAGCATCCCTTGGCTTGTGAGCCCTTTGTTGTATCCCTCCGGCCTCTGGCTTCCATTGTCACATCTCTTCTGGAGTTAAATCTCCCTCATAAGGACACTTGTGACTGTATTACCTTTAGGGCCCACCTGGAAAAGCCAGGAAAATCCCTTCATCTCAGAACCATTAATTTAATCACATCCATAAACTCCCTTTACCACGAAAGGAAACATTCAGTTTCCAGGGATGAGGGCCTGGATATATTTGGGAGCCATTATTCAGCCCACCACCCTGTTCACCCTACTACAAACCCTGTATGTACCCCATTAGACACTTCTGCCCATCAAAATCCTCCCCATTCAACTGGTAAATTAGGGAACAGTGCCCCAGGAAAATGGCCTTCAGAATACCATACAATCATTCGAAATGGTAGAAATTTTATTAAAAAAAAAGAAAAATTGTTTAGAGAGAGAGTAGCAATATGAGCTATGTTAAGGTCACAGACTCCGGAACCAACAGATCTGGGTTGAAATCCTGCCCCTGACACTTACTAGCTGTGAGATACTAGGCATTTCACTTAACCTTTCTGATGCCTCAGTTTCCTCATTTGTGAAATGGGAGTATTTGTACCTACTTCACAGGGATGTTATAAGGATGAAATGAGGTAATACATGTAAAGTGCTTAAAATAGTGCTTGTCACAAAATAGGCCCTGTTTAACTGTAATGTATAGGTATGTATATTTATTATATATAACTTAAATTTCATATATGTTATAGTATGTACATGAATATATTAAAAAAATTTTAAGTGGTTATGTCTCTAGATGGTGGGACTGTAATTGGTATCACCTTTTTACTTATCTTCAAGTTCTATTTATATACACTAAACATTAATTATTTATATAACTGAAGTGAAACTTTAAAATTTAACAACACCAAGAGCAAAAACCCAGAGTCCTTCTGACCCTTGAAGGCCTGGCTGTGGCTCACCTCCCCCAGGGAGCCCTTCCTGATGACCAGGGGGGAGAGATCTTGCAGTTCTTATGACTCTTTTCCTTTCTTATGTCCTGGAGCTCTTGACCATGCGCTCTGGGAGCCCAGATGGGAACAAAGCAGGGTGTTCTGAAAACAGCCAACCCCACCAGCTGCATAAAAACGCCCCTCGCATGTCAACAATGCACACTGACTCTGTGCCACTTTCACCATCCCTCACGGCACCAACCCCACGGAGGTTAACTGACTTCCAAGGGCTGGTCCAGAGGTGGGCAAGAAGCGGGCTTGCCCAGAGTCACAGCCGCCAGTGGCAGGGTTCCCACCTCAGGCCTGATGCCATCACAGCCCTGGGGCACATGCCATGACCTGAGCATGACCAAGATGGGGAGGGGCTCCTGGCTTGGGCCCTTTCCCCTGAGAGACATGGCT